TGAGGATCACCGTGGAGAGGTCCCAGAAACCGTGTTCAGCCTTTAGGCCATATTTATGGTCAGTCTCTATTGCGGACCCTGGCAAAGCCAGAGTAGGGCTTCAAACAATGAAAAATTTCAACCTAAGAAAGATGGGAAGTAAGTGATTATAGAGGTTGGCTAGAAAACAGCATTTTATATCGGAAACTGACATATTTTGTCCATTTTAAGCACCACGGCAGACTGGAACGAATAATAGAAAAAGACCTGGTACCAGGATAGCGGGAAAGGGGCCGATGAGCACGAAGAACACTTGATATAAGTGACACCTTGGGTCGGAAGGTTGACGATGCGGGAGAGCTGGATAATGAATTTGGACGGGATGTGTGATTGATCAGACCCCATAGCCTTCACTTTCCACGACACTTACTGGTACTATCTGAAGGCGGGGTCCACCTTGGAGTACTGGTTGACTCTGAAACAAAACCAACAATGCGAGAGGCGGAGGAGATGGAAGAAGAGAGAAGGTACGAGAAGAAGGATGCGAAGAAGAAGAAGGAATATGATGAGGTAGAAGAGGGCGAAGAAGAGAAGGAAGAAAAAGCAGAGAAAGAAGAGGTAGCTGGTAAGCATTGTCTTCCAGTCCTCTATGTCATCGGATGTGTTAATTGAGGTTTGTGTGTGTGTGTGTTGTTGCTAATATCTTTACCTCTTATCCAACGGTTCCATTTTCCCACATAGATATTTATGTGGCTTCTTTTGTTTCTCTTGTGCAATATTTTGCCACAAAAGGCAATGAACGAGCAATTTTCCAGTTTAAGAATCCCTGAACACAGTAAATGGCGCCCTGGGTTTATAACGGACCCTTGTTTATTTAGTGTTAGCGTTAGGTTCAGTCTGTGTCCTGAATGTTACCTACTGATTCGGTAAGTGTTTAATGTGTTCGACACCTAGTATTTTTTTTAAAGCCTGGTCTGAATAGTAGGTTGTAGTAACTGTTTATGACAATGCTTTGTAACTTTGTGACCGCTTTACGCCGTAAGGCTACTAAAAGACAGAGAGAGAGAGAGAGAGAGAGAGAGAGACACAGAGAGAGAGAGAGAGAGAGAGAGAGACAGAGAGAGAGAGAGAGAGAGAGAGAGAGAGAAAGAGAGAGAGAGAAAGAGAGCGCGAGAGAGTTTGAGAGAGAGAGAGAGAGAGAGAGAGAGAGAGAGAGAGAGAGAGAGAGAGAGAGTCCAGTTCACGTTTCCTGGCCCATCTACACGCTGTCTGACCTTTCATTCATACTTTCTCAGACTCAAAAACGTGAACAGTTCCAGAGAGAGAGAGAGAGAGAGAGAGAGAGAGAGAGAGAGAGAGAGAGAGAGAGAGAGAGAGAGGGTGGGTAGGGATGGGAGGGGGGAAGGTTAATATCATGAATGTGATCGTATGCCTTCATTCAGGAAATCATTAAGTCAATCGATCATTCACCCCAATAATTATCAGCGTCGCCAAAACCTGGAGGCTTCGACCACGTGAGGCACACGTATGGCGAATAAGGAGGATGGGAAGGAAGCAATCCCATTGAAATACACGTCTAGAATTCTTTTTTTTTTTCTCCCTAAAACGTTTTTGTTTGTAGGCACTGTGTGAATTTTTCGAATGTATTGTTATAGTTATTTACCAATGTGCACATTATTATTATTTTATTATTGTTAATATTATGTTCTTAAATTAGAACTGTACCTCTTGAGGCCCCATCATTTCCTAGAAAATATATATCGCGACGGGGGCAAAATTAGACCTAGTGCCTCCTCCAATGTTTTCTCTGTGTCGTCTATGACTTGCTTGTTTGGAGCAGTGACTATTCTGATTTCCCCCCAAATGGGTCAATAAAACCCACACATGTAGTATATACAATCAAAACAGATTGCCAACAGATATTATTAAAACCCTGCGCGAGATTTTCAAACAAGGAAAGGTCAGGGTTGCCGTGGCGCCGAGTGTAAGAACTTGAAACATAAAGTTCTCAAAGCTGTCATAACATGCGCTCTCCCTTTATTTTAACAATGACATATGTTCCTCATATACAAGAACCGGTAGAATGGACCGATGTGTTTGTGTTACCGGACTCATGGAAATTTATGACATCTGTCATTCTGTGATTCGATGTAGTCTTTAACCGTCAGTCGAGGTCCCATCATCACAACAGAAGGGTTGCCCCATAACTACTCGGTCCCGTTCTGGTGCCCGCGGCGTGTTGTTGACTAAACAAAAATGGTGGGTGACAAATTGCGTTCAGAATGGTAGGTACTTTTTTTGGGTGCAATGCCGGCGTTCGTGATTTGCCCCAACGGTGAGCTGCAGTTCTGGTTTGGAGCCGTTAGTATTGGTGTTTCTGACATCTGCCTTGTGCACTTTTCTTTTGAGTGGTCAAACTTCAAGATTTTGCTGCAAATTACCAGTTTTTCACTAGTTTTTAAATAGGGTAGTGAATGTTATTATGTGTGATTTCTACTGGCTTATTTACTACACATTGGACCTTTGTTGCTAAAACCCTTGGGACTGAAAGAGTTAAGGTCCTTGTTTTGGAAGTAAGTCGCCACCAGTTAAAGTAAAATCTTGAGAATGCAATGTGTCTTCAAAACCAAAGTGCCTATCACTGCTAGATCGCTGATAACTACTACCCGAAGAGAACCCACGTTATATGATTTATCATTTTCAAATAACCCGTTGTTATATGTGGAAGTCTAAAGCAAACAGGTAACGAACAATGCCCTAACACAGTGATTCCCAAACTGTGCGTTTCCGCGCCCCAGGGAGCCGCGACCTCTTCACAGTGGCGCCGCGAAATATTAGAAGATACACGAGTTTTATTTTTTATTTATTTCTTACGTACGAATAGTCATACTTTTACTTAGGTTAGAGCGCCGTGAAAAAAATTGTAATTGAAAAAAGGCGCCGCGACTAAGAAAAGTTTCGGAAACACTGTCCTAACATATATTATGATTCCACTGTTCAAAACAGAAAGGCATACTTGGGTCATATCAGGGCGTCTTTTATCACCTGCCAGCAGTAAAAAAAAAAAAAATGCGTTCAGATTTCGTGGTTTAAATCTCTTTTCCTGTGTGATTTCCATAAAAAGGTGAATGATGAGGTTTGCGGCGGGTTTAAAATAGTGTGTCTTCTTTTTAGGTCATGTCCCCGAAGTGTTTTCTCCCACCTGATTCAGCTGTTAGGGCAAGCGTGCATGCGTGACTTAGAAAGGGGATGAATTGTTAATGTTTGTTCTACGAAGCGCATAGGATAGCTGTCACGATATTCAGAGTGGATGTTGTGGTATGTTTAATGTGATGCTGTATTAAAAGTTTTGGATATTGGATTGTTTGTTTTGGTCGGCTCTGTGACTAAGTTGATGCGAACGCTTCGTAATGCCGGGATGCCGGGTTCGATCCCAGCTGCGGGTAACGCGCCTTGCGTTGTGGTATCAAGAAAGCTGACCGCCAAGAAATTAATGGCAAACTACTGGACGTAAATGTGCCCAGAAAAACCACACAGGGGCTGTTGGGGTTGGTTCTGCAACGTCCTGTAAAGAATACGCAACTAACTATTGTTTGTTTTAAGCAAATCATTATCACTATCATCACCACCTTAACATCATCATCAGCATCATCATCATCAAGGAGCCTTCTCACTGTTGCTGCGTGGTCTCGAGACATGGTGTCTGCCTCGACTGCTAGAGGTTTCGGGTTCAATCCCCGGTAAGGGCTGGGATTTTTTTTCACGTGGACTTGGACTTCTAGTAATTCCCTCTGGTCTCTGGGTAGTGAGATCGGACGCCCGTGTGCATTGGAGGTAAAAAATCCCTTAGCATTTGGAAATCGAAAAGAGTAGCCTAACGGCGCTGCAGGGCAAAAACTTTGAGTTAAAAAATCTACACAAAGTATTTCAGGATTCTCGCCGGTGCTACAGAACCTGTGCACTGTAATGTTCTTCAGACTCAGTCTTGAGTTAGAAAAAGAACGGAGCACTTATGGATTACTACCCTTGTGCCATGATGTTGATCCGTTTTTCAAACCTCAAATCTGTTGTGGACTATCATTCTTATCCACATCTCTATATCTCCGACATCATGCATAATTCACATGTTGTTTACGTGACCTAAAGTAAAGTATGGTCCCTTTTTCCACGCCTTTATTGGGAATATAGGGCTAGACCTCTATTTTTGTTAGACCAATCGGCACTTGGTGCGTTATGTGGTCAGCATCACGCTACCACCTTTACTTCCCAGGACTGCACCTGGTACCCACTCAAGGTTGGGTCGACCTGGGAGTCAGGGTCATTTTTGAAAAACAGTCCGGCTCCGTCAGGTCGCGAACCCACGACCTTCAGATCCGCAGGCGGGCGTCGAGCCGCCAACACCACGGCGACTCTCTTACGTGACCTAAGGTAGTCAAAATTATCTCTCTCTCAACCTCTCTCACTGTGTCTGTCTGTCTCGCTCTCCTTCACTTTATGTAAACACAAACTGGTCATAATAATATTGATGTGATTTGGAAAGTTACAAAACGTGTTCGCAAATTATTTGTGGATTTAGGTATTTAAGGGGGCGGGAGGCGTGGAGGGGGTGGTTCATGTTGGTCCAAGATTTTCATTTCCAAGGGGTCTTAGTGTGGTTTAATCTAGAACTTCTGTTCTCTCTTTCTGTCTGTCTCCCCTTCTTTTCTCACTCCTCGCGTATGTGTGCTCAATTTTTAATTAATCATTTGAAAATAACGTTTCTTTGTTCGTCTTATAGTCTCTCTCTCTCTCTCTCTCTCTCTCTCTCTCTCTCTCTCTCTCTCTCTCTCTCTCTCTCTCTCTCTAACAACAAGAGGCATGTTTTATAATACACATGTTTTATGTTGTCTTTAGCAGACTATTTTAACGACTGATTTACAGACAACATGTAATTGTTTCAGGCATTCTGTTTGTGACCTCGTCATCGTTACCGCGGTATTACAGACATAATTATTTCTGTCTTGTGCCTGGAATCAAGAACAATGGATGACATTATCGTGACAGTCATCATTGCTGCAGCCGTTGTGCTATTGTTGTTCCTGTATTGTAGAAGAAAGAGGAGCAGGACGGTCTCTGCAGGTAAGTTACAGCTTACATTCGCTAGTCATCATCTTCGACGTCATTTTCATCTTACCATCATAAGTATCGTTGCCGACGTCATCATCATAATCATTGTCGTCATCGTCGGGTAGACAGGTAATTATCAGAGGTCGGGACACGAGTCGCGTGATTAGGAATGAGTCCGACTCAAGTCTCACTAGACTTGGAGCTTTGCCCAGCGACTCGCGACCCCACTTGGTAAGACTCGTTCTTAGTGGTCGGCTACTGTGGGATTTGGTGACCAGCGTCGCAATCCAAAACGTCTTCATTTAAAACAGGACATAATAAATTCGGTTTCGATTTATCGAGCTTTAACATTCGACTTCTTCCGCTTTTTGTGTATAGTTCAGGTCCGGCTCGCTAGCTCAGTTGGTTAAAACCCTCTGCGCGGCGACCCGGCGACAAACTCCATGTGGTTTGGGTTCACGCCCGGAGGTAGGCAGAAAAGCCAAATTTCTCCCATATTTATAGTATCTATCAGAGAATCAAGACCGAAGGGTTGCGATATCCATAGTACCGAGCCAAAGGGTTTACAACTCATGGTTTCTGGATACTGAAAAAAAAAAAAGTATAGTTCAGAGGAGTTTTTCTAACTTTTATTTTTGGTTTTCAATTTTTTCCATATTAATGTATCTTTTATCCTTATTCTAGTAAATTTAAATAAATTTGCACCACTTGCAAATGACTTGATACATGAAGTTACTTAATCCGGGACTCGGCTTGAAAGCAACGTTAGTGACTTGATCTTGACCTTGGGAGTTGGTGGCAGTGACTTGGGGCTCCACTTGGACTTGAAAGGTGATGACTTAGTCCAACATGTGGTAATTATTGGATTCCTCTCCAGGATTGCTCCCCGTAAGATTAACACCCCAGGGATGGAAATCAAACAGAAGTAAATCCATATACCCCGTTCAGCCGTATATAATTATAAAACAATCATTTTAGGGATACTTCCAGGTTAACAAGCAATCTCAGTCCAAGGTCGGCGGAGCTTAATGCTTATCATCATTGTGGTCATCATCATCGTTAAACTAGTCCTATTAACAGCGTGATGGACATCGTAAACAACATCGCTATAGCCATTGTCATTATCACCATGATGGTTGTCATAACAAAAGGCTGACGAGAGTCTTCTTTTGTATTCTTCTCCTGTCTCTCTTTTAAAACAAATTTATCCACTTGTCATGACACGCTCTGTGTCTGTTCATCTGAAATATGCGGTTTCGGAAGACTGATGTTTGGTGGGGAGTTCCCGGAAAAGTTATGTAGTATAGTTTAAAAAAACAAACAAAAGGAACCAAAAGAAAAATACGGTGACCTGTCTACCGGATGTTTATGATGTTGTAGCGTCTTTGCAAACATTAATCTTAAACTGTCTCATGCTTCCAAAACAGAAGAGTTAAAACTGTCAATCACTGCCTTATTATACAACTTTTGGGGTTAAAGCGTGGGGGGTGGGGGGGGGGGGGGCGCGGGGTGGGGGGGGGGGCGGGGGCGGGGGTGGGGGGGGGGGGCGGGGGCGTTGAGCCTGAGGATTTATGGTCACATGACTAGTGTTGTCGCCACGACTGTGCAGGTGAGGATGTTATTTTGCGCCCGGCAGAAAAAATCCACCACTTTACCCAGGATTTGAACCCAGTCTCCCAAAAAAAAATAGCTGAGCCCGATAAATTAGTGTTTTTCAACATTTTACATCCACTGCTGCGCGTGCGCGCACACTCATACACGCTCGCGCGCACAAAAACGAGGAAAATTGTTTCACGGCCCACCGGACATGTAACCAAATACAGACACCACAACAAGTGTAGATGGCAGTTTATTTCTTAAATAAGATGTCATTAAATTACAGTCTTCGGGTAATGCAACATTCTGCTGCCGCTCAAAGGCTAGAACATCTGACGTACGTGACTAAAGCGTTGTTTCTGATATATGAAGCGCTGCAATAACAACCATTCGATTTCTCTGTTTGGTTTTTATTACTGACTTGGCTGAGAAATCTATTCCACTAAAATAGAAAGTAAGGGGGTCACCGTGGCGCAGTGGTCAGTTCAGTACACGAGTGCAAATTTTACAGAAATGTTAGGGGATCAAAGCCGGAACTACGGAGTTTGTGCTCTGTGAATGCCATTCTGCTGAGAAAGACTGAGCCATGTGGGATAAAATCCTATGCAGTGAAGTCGATCCTCTCGACTCTTTAAATAATAAGTTTAAAAAAACTATGTGGTTTGAAGAACACAGGTAACATTCCTTCTAGAAAAACAGGTGTCTGTTCTCAGCAAAAAATATTTAAAAAAAGATGCAGGGACGTATCACAAAATGTCTTCTACAGTATTGCCAAAAAATAAAAGTATGCCTAAAAATATACTGGTACTGCGTACCCTTGTGTACTGGTAGAAAAACGCTCGGGCGGTAGTTATGGAATATGTGGTTACTGAAAAAAAAAGTCAGATATTGTGGATTTGACTAATGTATATAGCCCGCCTGACACTTACATATAAAGTGTTGAATACCCATTTAAAACTGAATTGACCTTCATTTGAGCCTTTCCATCTTTCCAGGTATATTGTGTTCTAGAAAGGCATAAGTATTGCCACCAGTTAAGGCCAGTGAAAAAGTTCCTCTTCTCCATAGCACAAAGCCTGGGCAGTATTGTAGAGACTTTACATTGTTTATGCAGTATGATCCCTCCCCCACCCTGCCTTGCTGGTTCAGAATGAAAGGTAATACCAATACGTTTGGAATAAAGTAGGCTGCAGAAGCTGCAGGATCAGAATAGCAGTGCTCTCAGTCCACATGCTGGAGCTTTCCTCCTAGACCAGCTGCCAACCAAGGCTAAGGGTTTTAATTAATCAGTTTGTCCCCTATGAACATCTACCTAATAGTTTACCATACCATCCTGAAAAAGTGAATCTCAGTCTGTATGGCAGACCAATAGGGTAGGTCCCAGATAATCCCCTCAAACTCCATCGAAATATTAAGTAGGATAGCCAAAAAATATTACACCAGCTAGGTGTAACCTTCCAGGTTGAAACCCTCTAGTGTTTACTAAAATTCTGCCTTAACTGGCAGATCTCTAGCCACAGGACTTTTAGGCAAGTGCTGTAGCCACACCACTAGGAAAGAATCATACAAAAGTAAATATATAATAGAACACAGCAGAGGATTATATTTATTTTGCAATGCCATTCTCAGGTTCACCAACAGAGGCAGAAGAAAGAAGGTTGATCAAGGAAGTCAAAGAGAAAACAGTGACTGTTACTAAGAGAAAGATCATGTTTGCAGAGACCCAGAGAACTGCCTCATTGTTTGAGCTGTTTAAAAAAACAAATGTTCAGGAGGTAGGTGGTTGAACTATTGTAAATCAGATATTTATCTTTGGCACCAAAATTCAATTTTTTGACAGTGAATGCAAAGCAGAAAAGTCCATCATATTAATCATAATCATTGTCCCGTTGTACCGTTATATGTCACATAAAGCTCTAAGTCTATTCCTCTGTTCCCTTTTATTCTGTGCAATCACTTTGATATCATGGAAGAAAAACCAGTCCAGCACTTTTTACCGCTCTTATCAACCTTCATCTTTGAGGTTTTTTTTTAAAAAAAACGTCCTCGCTGCCTCAGTCCCTTTATTTCCCATTTTAGTGGCTGTTCAACCACATTCACGTCTGCTGAATTTTCACTATCCTTTTTATTTTTCATCAAAAGCCCCTGCCATCTTGTTTGGTTACTATGTGTGTCTGTAGCTTGCTGTCTTTTGTACTGTCAATCATTTTTATGAAGGAGGAGAAGGGAAGAAGGAGAAGAATGAAAGGAGAAGAATAAGACCTTGGGCTGTCCAAGTAAAGGCAAGGTAAATATAGGAATGTTCACTGGATTGAATTAACACCTTTCCGTCTTTTTAGACGATTGTGCTATAATGTGAAATGCAAAGGAACTGAAAAGTACAGCCCATGGATGACGGGTGTGACTAGCAAGTCCAGCCTACATTTTTCCATAGCACAAAACTGGGTACTTTCACAGAGGCCATGTGTTGCCCATGCATCCTGATCTCTCTCTCTCTCTCTCTCTGCCTGCTTTGTTTACCCCAAAAGAAAGGTAACACCAGTATCTTTGGAACAAAGCATGTTGCACAATGCAGTTGCATCAGCATCTTAGAAATACAGGTTTAAAATGAACTCATTTCCTTGTTAGATTTTTCTAGAATGTTTATAAATTTTTTTGTGTGTGGTAATCTGAAGCCCACATACACCATTCAACATCCTTACAGGTTACATTTAGGGCGCCCACAAGAACCTCATTCACTACTACTTTGGTGTAAGTTTACTGTCCTCGGTGGAAGGGAGTGATTGCTTACTTCACAAATTACACACTGGTCTTGTCCCAGAACATGATTTTTGTGTGCATATCCATTTAAAGATATGGCTAAATTGTGTGTAGACTGTTGGTTCTTTGCCTTGCAGGCAGATGTGCCCTCACTTTGGAGGAAAAACCCCTAATTAGCCATAGGTTGACACCTTTCAGTCTTGCCAGACAAAAGTGCTTTTTTGTGTGCTTTAGGGAGGCATGAGAATTGAGAGTGTGACTAGAAAGACTCCCTCACATTAAAAACAGTCTAGGGATTAGCAATATAAATATGTCTCCCACCATCAGAGGTGGCACACTTATCAATGACATAATTGTAATCACTGCCCCTCAGTTTGTTTGCAAGACCGGTTAATTAAGTACAGGGATAAATTTCCTACTCTCCATAGCACAAAGTCTGGGCATTATTGTAGAGACCACTTGTTCATGCAGCACAATCCCTCGCTCGGTCTGCCTAGTTACTCCAAAGGAGAGATGACATCCATGTATTTGGAATGAGACATGCTTCAGAAGCTGCCAGATCAGATAAGCAGTACTCTGTTTGTCTACCTGTTGGAGCTCATCTTCTAGACTAGCTTCCAACCAAGCCTAAGTGCCTGGTCAGACCTGCCAAAACATGAAGTTTTTAGGTTGCATTTCCTGTTCCTAGGAAAAAGCTTGTTGTCTTTAAAATGTGCTTTTTCATTGAAAAACTGATATGATCTATTTCTGAACTTATTAGGACATCCAGTTGTTTTCGTACATATTAACTCACTCCACTAAAATATTTACCAATTCTATTACTGTGTTATTATTTTAACTCTGAAGAGCCAAATTATTACTTTAAAAAAAACTTCTTAGAACCAGTTACAGTGACTCCAGTTTGGTATTGGAAGAGTTAATTTGCTTTTTTGTGGACAGAGCAATTCTCCCCAAGCATGGAAAGGAGAAACAGATCATTAACTAACCAAATTACTGTTGCTGTTGAATTCTTGCAGGTAGCAAAGGAAATTGTCTCACTGGATGAAGTCAGTGCCATCATGCATAAGGCTGGCCTCGAGGACTGTAATCTTATTTTTGGTAAGTGATCATACACCTAATCTTACTGTGATACCCACTTTTTCTTCTTCTCTTTTGCTTCTACTTCTTCTTCAGTATTCTGAGCCAGTAAGGTACATATCACCCGCCTCCATTTATCTCTATCATAGGCCTTTTTTTTTCTAGTTGTTGACTACAAGTGTTGGAATATCAGATTATCTTTCTACTGTCTTCTTAGTCTGCCCTGTGGTCTGCTCCATAAGTGTAAAATTGATTTAATCTGAAGAACAAAATTGTACATAAAAACAGTCAACAGCTTATCCTCACTGCACATCAAACTATTCAGCCCATAATGGCTCAGATAGCCTCCTCTGTAAATCCCAGTACATTTTTAAAGACTACCTTAAAAGAATGTTGAATCTTGAATGTTGAATTAGGAATTGACATCACAATACTCGATCAATTCACCACCTAGTGGTGCAGAACAGGCCAGTCTATCTGTCTGCTCATTTCCCAATACACCAGCATGGCCTGGAGAAAATATCCAAAGGATGCTAACTATCTGGGACCTTTGAAATGATGCTTGCCATTCTGCACAAAGCATGCCTGTCATCACCTTCTTAACATGCTCTATGAGTCAGTTTCAATCATGGCATGTGTGTACAGCTGATTCTCAAGCCAGCCGAAGGAAACAGAGACTGCCTCCACCTCCATTCTCTAACAAGATGTTGTGATATCATATGCAAGGTTTTGCTGCACTAAGCGATATCCATTTGCCTTTGCTATCAATGCCCTTGCACTTCGTTTGCCTGTCGACACAGAGCCATCCGTATATGCAATCACACCACTTGGGCGGGAATTGTCATGAATCATTTGTTAAACTTCTGATTCTGCAGCACCAGCTGTCCAGTTCCTGCACTCACGACCTAAAGTTATTAGAACCCTGCAAAAGTCTGAAACTTGTTTGGACCCTTTGGCCCACTCCTCTTCCGCTCAAATTTATCAAGCCTGCACACATGTCGCATTGTGTCTTCAGCTTGCGCCATCCATTCTTTTAAGACTGTGACCCTTAGCTCTATCCAGGGCTTCATGCAGGAGGTGCTTTTTGTCTGCAGCTTCTTTGAGATATGACTTTGCCTGCAGAATTTTGAGCCTGTCTGCAAAAGTTGGCAGTGCAAGTAAATATTGCATACATACTACTGGGGTATCTCCTGTACATCCCAGAATTACCCACATGGCTTCATTCTGTATGAGTTTTATCACCTGACTCTTTGTCCATTGCTGCCATATTCTTGAAAGCATTCTTTTTGGTATTTCACTGCAACTGCCTCCACGTGATCCCAAAGGACAGGCTTATATCGAAAGTGATTCCCAGCTACTTCAGTTTGCTTTCTCTTTTGATGTTACTGTGATTAATTGTGAGGCTTAGAACATTAGCTCTTACAATTCTATTGTACAGAGAGCACCACAAAACAGCAGACTTTTCTGAGTTGATGACAGCACCCATTTCTGTACACCAGTGAGTCACTTTGTCTACAGTTGCCTGTAGCTTGTGGGCTATCCGTTGTCTATCACTCCCTTGCCTATATGCAAGAAAATCATCAGCATTAAAGAGCTCTGGTGAAACTAGAGAACCCTGGGGTAGTCCCAGGGCTATATTACAAGGTTCTGAGGTTAATGTACCCAGGCAAAGGGAAACCATACATGAAAACAGGACAGCTGCTATACAGTTTATAAGCCAGGAGCAAACCCCCTTCTCCATGAGTGCATATATCAAAATATCAAATCTGACTATATTACAGGCATGCTCAAGATCAAGTGCCGCTACAACCATCTCCTTTTCGTTCTGGAACCCTTCATAAGCATCAAAAGCACAAGTAGCTGCATTAGATCATGTATCTTTCCGTGACTGGTATCTACCCAATCCTTTTGGCAGAAGCTCTTTCCTTTCCAAAAACATTTGTAGTTTAACAGCTATAATATTCTCTAGCACCTTGCCAGAAGTATTTCATAAGGTGATAATTTTGAAACCGATGAGTCAGGAATTATCTTTGGCTGGTTTTCAGGTCTTTAGCGGGTACTACATATCACAAACCTTTTTAGTGGCTGATGACACCAGTCCTGCGTTGGTTTCTTATTTTTCTTTGGCTTCCCGCCTAGTGTTCTTGTCTGGTCACACCCCCTAAACATGCTGTTCTTGCAGTCTAGTCATGGATGCAGATTCACAGTCATCATTTGGTTCTCGCAAACATCTCACTTCTTAAACAGTATTCATTATATCAGCATGGTCCATGGCACAACCGCCCGTCATTGTGGCTTTACATGCAAGCGTAACAGCCTGCTCATTTCCTTGCACGCCTGTGTACCCTGGCATGAATATGAAACTGATGTGCATCTTTGGACTCAGCCCATTTATAATTTCTTGAGCATATTCATAGAGTACAGAGAAAACTTGTGAAGGTAGAGGTTTACGTCTTTAAGCATGTTATTACTTTGGTAACAGTTACGATCTCCATAGCCAGAATACTCGAAGTCAAGGCAAAAGCACCAGAATTTTACTTCATAATTCTAACTCCAACCATGAGCTTCTTGCGTAGCGAATTACAGACTCATTTGTGTAAATGACAGCATCGCCCTCTAGAGAATTCTCAAAAAAACAAAACCTGCACGTCTGCCCAACAAATCTTGATCTGCATTTTCTGTCTAGTCGGATGCAAACAGAAAGGTCATACAGCACTGTGTTGGCACTTGTACTCATTTCTCCCCAGCTTCAGTGTCCTCGAGAGAGCGGACATGCTGAAAAATATCCTTGGCCTGACCCATCCACGATTTTTCTCTTTTTAGCCTGCTGCCAATTTTCTTCTTAATTTCATTATACAGCGGGTGTCATGTGTCTGTGTTGACTCTGAGGCAGGCTTGTGCTCGGCAGATCTGTATTCTGTTCTCCGTGGTTAGAAAACCGAGAAGGTTGCGCATCCCCCTACATGCTGCATTTCTTGTACACACAAGTTTAATGCTCATAGACTCATTCTGTATCCTTTCAATCCTCTCCAGCTGCTTATGGCTGGGAGTCATGATTACCATCGCATACTCAAAAACAGAAAGGATAAGACCCTGAAATAAAAGACATAAATGAGGCTGCTCACAGTTTGCTGCAGCCATCACTATCCTCATAACCAAGTCCTGCTTGACTTTATTATCCCCTGGTCTATGTGTTCAGTATAAGCCAGGCTAGGGAGGCTTAGTGATCTCAAAGCAAGGCATCAACCTCCAGTGCTGGAGGTCCCAGGTTCGGGCCCTGGTGTAGGCTAGGATTTTTTCATGTGGACTTCTAGTAATTTCCCCTTGTCTCTAAGTAGCAAGACCAGACGCCCGTGTGTATTGTTGCGCACATAACAAATACATTGGCAGTTAGAAATCGAATAGAGTAGTCTAACGGCACTGCTCTGGCAAAAATTGTGAGTAAAACATCTATCCAAAAAGTAGTTCAGGATCCTTGCCAGTGCTACGGAGTTTGTGCATTACATTGAGATTCTTCAGACTCGGGCCTGAGTTAGAAATAGAACGGAGCACTTATGGGTTACTACCCTTGTGTCATGATGTGGATCCATTGTTCAAACCAAATAAGCCAGTCTACGATCAAGTCGTGTCCCCAGATATTTTATTGCCTGCGTTCATTTTACATTCTCTGAGCATAGACTTACAGTTGGCGCTGGAGTGTTGACAATATGGTTATTCAAAGAGAACCAAGTCACTGCTGATCAGTGCACCAGCCTCATCACACTAATTGCTTATGTGGTACATTAAAACTGTGTGTTAATAATTAAATATAAGTATATAGTCCCAGTGTGGGTTCTCTGCCCATTTTATAAGTAACAGTTTGACCCTTTTTAGGCTATGTTTATAGATCAGTCAGCGCTCAGTGGGTGATGTGATTAACATCCCACCAGGCCCTATTTTGTGGGTTAAAACAACAAACACACTGTCCTAAGCACCTAATCATGTCATAAACAGTTACAAATAAGAAGTCTGCAGAAATTGGATGTGTTGTAATGAAAGTACAGATATTGCAACCTAGCTGTGAGCCACGATGTAATGTACCCACCGCCCTGTTAATAGCAAATGCAGAAGTTGAAGATGAAGAAAATAAATATAAAAATAATACAATGTTAACGATTTTTGTTTAAAAGAACTACCACTGGATCTATTGCAGCATGGTTCTGCACTGTTTGCATATTAGGATCAATCAATCAATAAAGCAAATGAGAGCTCTCTCTGTACAATAAATGTGGCCTGCCATGAACCACTGACACCTTCTGTCTGCAGCTCTATTTGTTTACCAGGCATTCCTGAAACAGTGTCTACTATTTCTGGGTGTTTCTTGGTTCTGAGTGTTTGATGAATTTGTTTCAGTAAAAATACATGGGGTTATCTTTGAGGATCTCAGCAGCTAAATAAAACTAAAGGACCCTGACACTCAGGCATACAGTGCTTTTTCTCCTTTTTCTTAGCTTTCACAAGCCGTAAACTTTGGCAGAAAGTTTTAGCTGTCAAACAATTCATCTGAGGTTTGCTTTGAAAATAGTTGTTTTAATTCTGGACGCTGTTCTTCAGTTGCATGTACACTCAACTGAGTTGGGTGATGGTCAACATCATGCTGAATAGGGTGATGGTTAACATCATGCTGAGTTGGGTGATGATCAACATCATGCTGAATTGGGTGATGGTTAACATCATGCTGAGTTGGGTGATGATCAGCAGCATGCTGAGTTCGGTGATGGTCAACATCATGCTGAGCTGGGTGATGATCAGCAGCATGCTGAGTTGGGTGATGTCAACATCATGCTGAGCTGGGTGATTGTTAACATCATGCTGAGTTGGGTGATGTTTAACATCATGCTGAGTTGGGTGATGATCAGCAGCATGCTGAATTGGGTGATGGTTAACATCATGCTGAGTTGGGTGATGATCAGCAGCATGCTGAGTTGGGTGATGGTCAACATCATGCTGAGTTGGGTGATGGTCAACATCATGCTGAGTTGGGTGATGGTCAACATCATGCTGAGTTGGGTGATGGTTAACATCATGCTGAGTTGGGTGATGGTCAACATCATGCTTAGTTGGGTGATGGTTAACATCATGCTGAGTTGGGTGATGGTTAACATCATGCTGAGTTGGGTGATGGTCAACATCATGCTGAGTTGGGTGATGGTCAACATCATGCTGAGTTGGGTGATGGTTAACATCATGCTGAGTTGGGTGATGGTTATCATCATGCTGAGTTGGGTGATGGTCAACATCATGCTGAGTTGGGTGATGGTCAACATCATGCTGAGTTGGGTGATGGTTAACATCATGCTGAGTTGGGTGATGGTTAACATCATGCTGAGTTGGGTGATGGTCAACATCATGCTGAGTTGGGTGATGGTCAACATCATGCTGAGTTGGGTGACAATCAACATCATGCTGAGTTTGGGTGATGGTCAACTTCATGCTGAGTTTGGGTGATGATCAACATCATAGTCAACATCATGCTGAGTTGGGTGATGGTCAACATCATGCTGAGTTGGGTGATGGTCAACATCATGCTTAGTTGGATGATGGTCAACATCATGCTGAGTTGGGTTATGGTCAACATCATGCTGAGTTGGGTGATGGTAAACATCATGCTTAGTTGGATGATGGTCAACATCATGCTGAGTTGGGTGATGGTCAACATCATGCTGAGTTTGGGTGATGATCAACATCATAGTCAACATCATGCTGAGTTGGGTGATGGTCAACATCATGCTGAGTTGGGTGATGGTCAACATCATGCTTAGTTGGATGATGGTCAACATCATGCTGAGTTGGGTTATGGTCAACATCATGCTGAGTTGGGTTATGGTCAACATCATGCTGAGTTGGGTGATGGTCAACATCATGCTGAGTTGGGTTATGGTCAACATCATGCTGAGTTGGGTTATGGTCAACATCATGCTGTCAACATCATGGTGATGGTCAAAATCATTGTGGTTTGTGATGGTCAACATCATGCTGAGTTGGGTAATGGTAAAAATCATTGTGGTGGGTGATGGTCAACATCACGCTGAGTGATTATTTTACCTTTTTTTTTTGGCCATGGAAGCTAGTATTTGTGGTGATTTCAACAGATCTCGATTTTAACTGTTGAGATTACGTTTTTATTTTTCACGAATCCTATTCTATGTTTGGAGACATGGAGGTCAGCACAGACCGTTTGTTTTCCATTTTAGTTTTTGTTTTGTAATTCTTTACTCATTTCATCTCATAGTGTGCTTATTTTATCTCCACCTTCTTTGTCTTATTGCAGTCAATACAGGTATTTGTCCAGACATTTCTCAAATCTTCTCACATTAAATAAAATAAAAAAATTAATCACATTTTATGCTCATGATATTTCTCATACATTTGGTTTCAAATGCATTTAGCTTTTGTTCCATATCTTTGCTAGTTTTTCCACTTTGGCTGGCATAGTTTAGAACTGAAATAATGTTAGACCTGAAGGTTGGTTTTAAAGCTGTATAATTTGGAGCTCCGTATTTTGTTAAGATTTCATACAGTTTGTTAATTTTATAATAAAACTAGGTGATCAATTAGTTTCCTCATGCATATAGCAAGATAAAAAAAAAATCACTAGCTATTTATTTTGTACAAACTTTAAATATTATAATGAAATTTGACACATCTTGTAACTATCATCAGGTATTGACTACACAGGATCTAACTATTTACAAGGTAAAAAGACGTTTGGCGGGAAATGCCTTCATGATATCAACGACAGGGGACTTAACCCTTACCAAAGTGTAAGTTTACCCCCCTCCCATTTTCCCACACACACACACACACACTCACAAAATACGTGTTATAGGGGCAGTGGATCTACTCTCCCCACCCCCATCCCACAAAATGGGGCTGCAGAACCCCTACGGTAGTGATAAGGGACCTTTGCTTTACTTTGTTCTCCATATTCTTTTCCTATCAAGTTGGCCAGTTGTCACTCAGTTAATTTTTTTCTTCTCATCACATGTCCAAACTAACTATATAGAATATCTAATTTCTTTAACCAGTTTACAGTCTTCATCTGTTTCTTGAAGAAATACCTGTGCTATTTTCTATCTACTCATTGTATTCTTTTAATTCTGCTCAGAAACCATATTTCTGCTGCAGGTAAATAATTGTGTACATATTGTCTATAAAAACATTTCAACCCCAAACAACATACATTGTTGATAGCTCATTTTCTGTGAATCCCAGCATTATATCTTTTACTTTTTACATTTGGTCAGAAAATGCTAGAGAAAGCTGGCTTTATCAGATATGTCAGCTGTTCATGTTACCTGGTTGAAAGTGATATATATATATATATATTCATGATGTTTGAAAGTTATTTAGTTATTTGGACATTGACTGTTCCACGTCCTGTTCTACATTTGATGAAAACATTGGTGTTACTTTCCTGTGGAGTTAACAAAGCAGACCAAGCGAGGACCCATGCTGCATGTGTAACACATGGTCTCTATAGTGTGCATATGCATTGGTCTATGGAGAGTATTGCCATTGACTGTGCGTCCCATGCCACTCTGTAGCCCAATGGAGCACTCTCTTCTGGATGTCTTCTGGTAGATAACTACTTCAGAAGCTGAAATTATAAGGAAGACCAGCAACTATAGACTGGCATAATAAAGTCACCATTTTCATGTTACAATGTTAGTAAGAGTATTTAAATGCTCATTGTCACAATTTAAACCATAAATGTTTGAACAGGACAAAATTCCAAATAATAATACAAATGTCTTGATACAATAATTTTATTAAATAATTAGAGGATACATAAAATAATAAAGAATATACTCTGAGATCTCAGTGAACCCTTTATATCCTAATTATAACCCTGAGGGTTGAATAGGATATTGTTTTTGTGAAAATCACTATTACTGTCTTCTTTAAAGATGTAAAGTTGCCAACAGTGAGGCCTCTTTACATAAAGAGTTATGATGCACAGGTTAAAAAAAAAAAAAAGACCCACTGAAGAAAAACTTAAAATATACTCAAATAATTATTTTCAGGTGATAGGCACACTTGGTGAGACACTGGAGCCATTTGACAGTGACGGAGCTATCCCAGCATTTGGTTTTGGTGATGCTTACACAAAAGACCATTCTGTATTCTCTCTGAGGCCGGAAGTATGTGATGCAAGAACTGAAGTATTCAGATCTTTTATATCCTTGTTTCTCATGTCATGCAGCTTGTAGCAATTTTATATCTAAATAATAAGAGTAACCATTTTTCCTCATGTCATGCAGCTTGTATCAATTTTATATCTAAATAAGAGAAACTATTTTTTCTCATATCATGCAGCTTTTAGCAATTTTATATCTAAATATGAGAAACCATTTTTTCCTCATGACATGCAGCTTGTAGCAATTTTATATCTAAATAAGAGAAACAATTTTTCCTCATGTCATGCAGCTTGTAGCAATTTTATATCTAAATAAGAGAAACCATTTTTTTTTTCATGTCATGCAGCTTGTAGTGATATTTGAAATCTGAATAATGAGAAAATCAGTTTCTTTATTCAGATGACATGCAGCTTGTAATGATTTTATATCTAACTAATAAAAGAAGCCTTATTTCCCGATAGCATGGGATGATTTACAAAATTTTCACGAGCACAAGACACACTTATTTAAAAAAAATATAGGGTCTCAAAACAGCATATTCTTTTTTTCTAAATTCCTGGTCCAAAATCAAGGTACGTTTTATACATGGAAGCATCTTACACTGTATAGTTAATTCTTCTTCTTCTTTGCATTCCGATTCGTATGCTTAGCTCAGACCATCAGGTGGGTTGCCTCTATGAACTCGCATGTCAGTAGCAGGTCCTTCATGATTCCCCATAGCTTGCTCTGCACACTCTGCTCTTGAGGCCAAGTTTCTTCTCGAAGTTGTATGTAAAATGGCCAGGTCTGCAGAATGTGTTCAGGTGCTTGTGATCCTGTTTGACAGGCACACTGTGGGAACTGTGCAGTCTTTATTTTATGCGTGTGGTAGTTGAGCCTGCAGTGTCCTGTTCATAGATGGAACATTTTTATAAGTTGTTTTCTGTTGAGTTTGCTAATGGGGTCTTGCGGATGTTTACTGTTAGTTTATTCTCTCCACAATTCCTTGTATTTTCCTTGATAAATGTTCTGATTTATGGTAATGACAATGAATGAGTGTGTTGTTTCTCCTTTGTTCCATTTAAGCAAGTCTGTCTGCTAACTCATTTCCTGTGTCCACTGGAGAACGATCTGATTGTTTTCTGTGAGTCTGTTTAGCTGACGGGTCAGTTCTCCTTCCATGTTGTCTCGTGGATCCCTCTGAGTCGCCTGGAGGACTAACATGCAGTCACAAATTAAAACAGTTTTGCTGTTTTTATTTTTTCTGCCCTCAAGCACTTTTGCTGAATCAGTAACTGCTTGCTGCTCTGCTCTGTAGTTTGTTGAGAGTTTTCCGGAGGCACATGATATATAGAAGCCATTAATAGAAGCCATAATAGAAGCCATTTATTGATGACATATTGCTTGTGATTTTTATTTAAATCTAAATAATGAGAGGAGCAATCGTTTCTAATGACTTATGCTTTGTAGTAAGTTGATGTACAATAAAAGAACCCATATCTGATGATGTCTGGCTTGTAAAAGCTTTTTAAAAAAATTAAGGAAAAAAACTGGACAAGTTTCATGCCATTGGCATATGAGACATACGAAGTTAATAACATGTAAAGACCATTTTCCACACTTTAATATGTACTGGTTAAATAGGTTTAGACCTATATTTTTTACATGAATCGACACTTTGTGGGTGATGTGATCAACATTATGCTGACCACTTTTAGTTCCCATGACCTTACCTGGTAGCCAGTAGGTTACTTCAGCTCCCTATATGAAGCTAGATTGAAATATTTATAGACCAGCTAGCACTTGATAGATGATGTTGTTGGCAGCATGCCGGTTGCCTTTATCTCCTAGGACATATTACCTGGTATTTATTTTAGGCTCAGTCAATATGAGAGCCAATGTACATTTTGTTTCTCAAAATTCCCATGGTATGGATTCAAATGCAATACATTTAGACCTGAAGGCAATAATCGAGCTACCATGGCTATTCATACAAGTTGTATTGACTGTACATCTAAATATTAGATAGATTACATTTGTCAGATGATATCACTTGTGGTGAATTTAAATCTAAATAATTAGAGCAGTCTTTATAATTTTTTCTGATGGCATATGTGGCTTTTGGTAATTTTATATTTAAAGAAAACAAGTCTGCTGGATGTCAAAACCAAATTAAGAATAGGCTTCTGGAATGTAAGAACCATGTTTGAAATGGCCAAAACCGCCCAAGTAATTAAAGAAATGCAGAACTATAAACTGCATATTCTTGGAATTAGTGAAAGCAGGTGGACAGGGTTTGGACAATCCACAACAGGTACAGGAGAAACCATAATATACTCTGGAAGAGATGATAACCTACATTCTGCAGGCGTGGCACTTATTTTAAAGAAAGGTATACACAAACATCTCATCGAGTGGCATCCAATCAATGAAAGAATAATGACAGCACGATTCAATGGCAAACATGCCAAACTTACAGTCATCCAATGCTACGCACCGACTAATGAAGCTGAAGATGAAGATAAAGAAACATTCTATAGGAGACTGCAAGAGGTAGTAGATAAAGTACCAGCCCATGATATTCTATGCATTATGGGAGATCTCAATGCAAAAGTTGGTTACAACAACTTGAATAGAGAACTATCAATGAGAAATCAAGGATGTGGTACAATTAATGACAACGGGGAAAGACTGAGCAACTTCTGCACGGCGAATAGACTTGTTATAGGAGGAACACTATTTCCTCACAAGAACATACACAAGCTTAAATGGATATCCCCAAACAGAAGAGATGTAAACTAGATCGACCATTTCATGGTAAACAGAAAATGGCATGGATCCCTACTCGATGTGCATGTCAAAAGGGGAGCAGATGTGGGAAGCGATCATCACCTTGTAGTCGCTCTACTACGACTTAAACTCAAAAAAGTTTACACGTAATTTAAGACACAGACAGCACGTTACAATGTTAACCTTTTAAGAGAAAAAGACATTGCCACTAAATTTATAGTAGAACTCAAGAATAGATTTCAAACCCTATCAAGTGACCCAGAAACTCCAACTACAATCAGCATTCAAGACAGATGGAACCAGATCAAAGAAACATACAAATCAACTAGCAATAACATATTAGGAACCAGGAAACAACACCACAAAGAATGGATAAGTAGTCAAACCATGGACTATATTGCCAAGCGAAAAAAAATAAAGAGCCTCATAAATCACACTAAATCAGAACGTCAGAAAGACAAACTAATGTTAGAATATAGCAAACTAAATAAAATGACCAAGAAAAGTGCCAGAGCTGACAAGAGAAGATTTATGGAAGATCTTGCAGAAACAGCAGAAAATGCTGCTAAAGCACATGATCTACAAACCCTACACAAAATTACCCAGCAAATTTGCGGAAACAGAAACAACTATCACAGCATACCCATTAGAGATAACAAAGGCAGACTGCTCACCACAGAACAGAAACAAGACATGCAGTGGACTAAACACTTCTCTGACCTCTTGAACAGACCTGATCCTGAAAATCCCCCAGATATTCAACCAGCCTCTCAGGACATTGACATTATTACTAAACCACCAAGCAAACAAGAAATCCTTAAAGCTATCCACACTTTAAAGAACAACAAAGCACCAGGCAAAGACGAACTGCCAGCAGAACTCCTCAAAGTAGATCCCAACACAACTGCTAGCATTCTAGAACCATTGTTCAAGGATATTTGGGAAAAAGAAGTGTTGCCTGATGACTGGACTGAAGGAACAATAGTCAAAATCCCCCAAAAAGGAAATTAATAGACTGCATTGAGGGGAATTACTCTACTCTCAGTACCAAGCGAAATATTTTGTAAAATCATCATAATGCGGCTTGAAAAAGGAGTAGATAAATGCCTACGAGTGGAACAAGCAGGATTCAGAAAGGGCAGAGGAACAACTGAGCACATCTTCGCCCTACGTAACATTTTAGAACAATGCAACAAATGGCAGAGAAGTATATATATTAATTTTGTGGACTTTGAGAAAGCTTTTGACAGCGTCCATAGAGACGGTTAGTGGAAAATTTTACGACATTATGGAATTCCAGAAAAAATAGTCAACATAATTGCTTTCTTCTATAAAGACTTTTCCTGCAGTATAAAAAAATTACAATACATCTTTCCCAGTAAAGACGGGTGTAAGACAGGGATGTGTTATGTCATCTCTCCTCTTCAACCTTGTGATTGATTGGATACTAAAGAACACAGTAGACAGGACATTAAGAGGCATATGATGGACTCCATTCACCATGCTTGAGAACCTTGATTTTGCAGATGATATAGCACTCCTATCACATAAACATGAACATATACAAGAGAAAAGTAACAGACTAAACTGCACAGCAGAAATGGTGGGACTGAGAATAAATACAAAGAAAACTAAGATCATGACAAACAGTCCAAACCAACAACCAGTGACCATAAGTAACCAATCACTTGAAAATGTAGAACATTTCACGTATCTTGGCAGTGTAGTGTCCCTACTGGGAGGGACAGAGGAAGACAAACAGTCACGTCTGAACAAAGCTAGAGCTGCTTTTGGAAGGATGAGTCAAATCTGGAAATCCAACAATTACTGCAGAGGAATGAAACTCCGACTCTACAAGAGCATCATTTTGCCAGTTCTTTTTTATGGAGCGGAATGCTGGAGAATGACCAAAAAGGATGCACACAAGCTGTCCACCTTCCACCACACATGTCTACGTAGAATTATCAAAATTTTCTGGCCACATACAATCTCAAACACTAAACTACTTCAAGCCACAAACCAAGAAACTTTAGACAGTATGATTACCAAGAGAAGATGGAAATGGCTTGGCCACGTTATGAGAATGACTTCTGATATACCTGCCAAAACAGCTCTCACATGGACACCAGAGGGAAAGAGAAAACAGGGGCGCCCAAAAACAACATGGAGACGAACAATGGAAAGTGACCTGAGTGCAGCATCATTGACATGGAAAACTGCACTGAAGATTGAACTGGACAGGAAAGCATGGAAAGTCCTCTCTGAAGCCTCATGTGCCACTAGGCATAACGAGAACTGATGATGATATTCAAAGAACATGGGAGGCCTAGTTTTGGCTTTTATTTTTGTTGTTGTTGATCATACTGTCTTAAGATGGTGATATACTAATACATACATAAATTTAGGAATTGAAAACTTGTTGTTGGAAGTGTTAAATATGAATACGTCTGTTCTACTTCTGTATATTCTACAAGTTGCTATTAACACATGGCATTCAGAAGTGATCTCCCTTGCTGCCTGACTGCTGCTTTTCTTCCTGTCTACGGAAATCACATGTGATTTTATATTCCTTTATTTCTCTTTCTACTCTCGTTCTCCAGGTTTCCTTAGGCCATCCACATCTTCAAACCTAATACTTTTGGCTTTCATACATTGTTAAGCATGGCAAATGCTTGGTTTGCTTTGTTGATTTTTGATATGCTTTAGTAGACCACCATTTATTGTTTTGTTTATATTTAGAGTCTTTTTGATTAGCTTACTGTAACATATGATTTTTAGATATCTTTTTGAATTCATTTTTAGGTGCCATGCTAACTAATGTGGGATGATTATACCTCACCACAACCTGTAATATCCAACATCATATATCCATTTATGATAAATTATCTTGAGCACTTCAACTCTTTTAAAATATCTGATATAAGGGGGCTTCGTGGTCTCGAGGCATGGTGTCCGCCCCAAGTGCTAGAGGTCCTAGGTTCGAGCCTCGGTAAAGGCTGACATTTTTTCATGTGGACCTTTAGTAATTTTCCCTGGTCTCTGGGTAGTAAGACCAGATGCCCATGTGTATTGTTGCGCACATAAAAAAATCTTTTGGCAGTTGGAAATCGAAAAGAGTAGCCTAATGGCGCTGCCTGGTCAAAATTTGGAGTTAAAAATCTACACACACACACCATAAAAAAAAGTATTTCAGGATCCTCACCAGTGAAACAGAGTTTGTGCACTGCGCTGAGACCCTTCAGAGTCAGGCTTGACTTAGAAGAAGAACAAAGCACTTATGGGTTACACCCGTGTGCCATGATGTTGATCAGTTTAATAAACATCTGATATAAATTACTATTATTTCTGGGTGTGTATGGGTTCTAGAGCCCCATTTTAGGAGAAAAAGAATAGAACCATTGTCCACATAACAAGCATATTATAAAAAGTGACTAATTAGGTGTTTTATGAAATCAAATGTTTGGGCTGAAAGGCACAAAAATCACAGCCTAGCTGTAAAAAAAAAAAAACACCAGCTGACCACTCTTTCAACGTTGAACACAAAAGAAGAAGAAGAAGAAGACTGACAATGATTTATAGAGGGTATGATCCTGTAAGATTGATTCTCCTTACTGAAGTAAGTAAGAGACTCTTCTTATGCAAGTGTTGTATCAAGTATATGGTGCTAGACTAATTTTTATAGACCAAGCGGCATTTGATTGGTTATATGGTCAGTATCATGCAAGCTGCCTTGGCATTTCTGGGTGACACTCAACAGACAAGACTGACATAACCCAGACTGCTACTGACACCAATGACTGGCTGCCTTGACATCTCTGGGTGACAACAGAGGACAGACAAGACTGACATAACTCAGACTGCTACTGACACCAATGACTAGCTGCCTTGACATCTGTGGGTGACAACAGAGGACAGACAAGACTGACATAACTCAGACTGCTACTGACACCACTGACTAGCTGCCTTGACATCTGTGGGTGACAACAGAGGACAGACAAGACTGACATAACTCAGACTGCTACTGACACCAATGACTAGCTGCCTTGACATCTGTGGGTGACAACAGAGGACAGACAAGACTGACATAACCCAGACTGCTACTGACACCATTGACTAGCTGCCTTGACATCTGTGGGTGACAACAGAGGACAGACAAGACTGACATAACCCAGACTGCTACTGACACCAATGACTAGCTGCCTTGACATCTGTGGATGACAACAGAGGACAGACAAGACTGACATAACTCAGACTGCTACTGACACCAATGACTAGCTGCCTTGACATCTGTGGGTGACAACAGAGGACAGACAAGACTGACATAACTCAGACTGCTACTGACACCATTGACTAGCTGCCTTGACATCTGTGGGTGACAACAGAGGACAGACAAGACTGACATAACCCAGACTGCTACTGACACCAATGATTGGCTGATTGACATTTCTGGGTGACAACAGAGGACAGACAAGACTGACAAAACTCAGACTGCTACTGACACCACTGACTAGCTGCCTTGACATCTGTGGGTGACAACAGAGGACAGACAAGACTGACATAACTCAGACTGCTACTGACACCACTGACTAGCTGCCTTGACATCTGTGGGTGACAACAGAGGACAGACAAGACTGACATAACTCAGACTGCTACTGACACCAATGACTGGCTGCCTTGACATCTCTGGGTGACACTCAACAGAGGACAGACAAGACTGACATAACCTAGACTGCTACTGACACTAATGACTAGCTGCCTTGACATTTCTGGGTGACAACAGAGGACAGACAAGACTGACATAACTCAAACTGCTACCGACACCATTGGTACGGATCTCTACATTGGTTGCTGAAGATTGGAGGAAGCACTTATAAAAATTGTCCCAGCTGATGCAACGCTGGTTCTTAGTTCCTAATCCAACTTAATTCAACTTGATCTGCATTATTCATTTGCATTTCCCCCTATGTGTGTGTTTGGGTGTGTGTGTGTGTGTGTTCTGGCACCCATTTTTAAGGAACAAGATTACACCCACTGCTCCTTGACAAGTATGTCATAAAGATGATTAATTAGGGATTTTCTGAAATTGGATGTGTTCGCTGAAAGGCATAGATATCACACCCAAATGTAAACCCCGGCACAATGCACCAAACATCCCATTTTTAATGGCAAACCTAAAGAATGACAAAATAAAAAATTATTTTATATTTATATATCATTTCCAGGAAATTCCTGCAGGATTCAAGGAAGTGCTAGAGATCTACAACCAGATAACACCCAAGATTCGACTCGGAGGCCCAACTAATTTTGCACCACTAATTAATCGAGCTATTGAAATTGTCAAAGCAACCAATGCAGTAAGTTTCTTCATATTTGAGGTTACAGGGCTTTTGACTGATAAACAGTCAAAGTAAAAAATATCTGTTCTTGCCATGGTGTGCATTGGGTATTTGATGCTACCAGCATATTTTGGCCTAATGTGCACTCAGTAAATGATATGGTAAATATCCTGTTGGCTGTTTTTAAAGTAATTAGTGACAAATTATTTGGAAGCAACAGAGATGTGATTTTACAGATGAATGATGAGAATATCCTGCACAGATGTCATGGAGGTAATTGACTCACAAAGAAAACTGATTGTCCACATCAGAAGGAGACCATCTACATCCTTTAGAGCAGGAGAAAACTGGAGTACACTGTGATGGTGGGAAAATAGAAGGAGGAAAGAGACAGAGGGAAACTGAGAGAGAAGATGCTGGACAGCTTGACATCATGGCATGGAAGATCATCTGTGAGAGAAAAATTGAAAATACATGAGACAGAAGATTGTAGATAGACATGACCACCAACACCCGTTAACATGGACCATGGAAGATCATTTATACCAGAAATTATTGGAAGTATACGACACAGAAGGTTGTGAATAGACATGACTAACAACAACACACAGCATGGACTAGAAGAAGAAGTAAACTAAAGTAAACTGTTTTTATATATCATATGCACATCCAGATGGTGATGCGGGATTCATATTCTTATAGACCAATTGGCACTCAGTGATGTGGTCAATATTATGCTGGAAGCCTTTATTTTCCCCAACATTTGGCCAACCTGGTACCCACTTTAGATTGGGTCAATCTGTGAGCCAAAGTCAGTTTTGAAAAATAATTGGTCTTGATGTGGATTTGAACCAGCAGCCTTCAGACCACCGGTTAGAATCTGCTGAACTAAAGCTGCTCACAGCTGCCCTTTTCTTACTAAGCCATTTCCTACTACCCATATTAAACTGACTGGTTTCACCTTGAAGTTCATATCAGTCAAGAAAAGTAAACTAGAGAATAAAGCAGTAGTGATTCAAATAACAATGCCCTGTTCAACCCATAGAGTTTTTTTTTTCTTAATATATATATATATATATTATATATGCCTATCAATTATGTTTAGTTATTCTGTATTGCATAGTTCATGTACAAATTGTATAAGATTGTAAGAGTATAGTTGCCAAGTTCAACACATTTTAAGTTTACTTTCAAAACATTTATAGTTGTTATACTGTGTAGTCTATAACGAATTGTATAAGATTGTAAGAGTATAGTTGCCAAGTTCAACATATTTTAAGTGCACTTTAAAAACATTTATAGTTGTTATACTGTAAATAATCTTTGTGGACATTTTAAGTGATCTGGGATACCATATTTTGTCTTAAGATATATTAACATCTCATATGCTAACCCCTGTCCTTGTGATATACTGTTTGATCCTTCCCTGTAGCTCTCTAGAACCATCTACTCCCAGTATGTTTCCTACTTTCATAGGCTTATTGTAGCGAATCATATATTCATTTTATTTGTGGTCTTTTCAGAACCTCTGTATTTGATTATTTTTTGTTTCCGGGAAATATGACTCCTTTTGTTAGTTAGAATTTAAGTTTTTATGAAAAATTTATTCTTAGGGAGAGCAAGAGTTCCATAATGGCTGCAAGCTGGCTAAAGATCTTGTGAGGATGTAGAAAATAAAATAAAATATGACCTTAGTTGAACCAGTTTGACTAAGCTTAAAAATTCGCTACCAAGAAATGTTTTGGAAAATAGACAGTGTGATTTAACCATATCACCAGTTGAGGGCTGATTTGTCTATAGAAATCAGAGTCTGAGTAAGTAAGTAAGGAAGTTGTACTCCATCAGGACATCACACAGAGCAATAAACACCCGGTGACACAAGGTGCCACCATGCAGATGGGTATCACCCGTGGAGAGGTCCAGGAAACCGCATTCAATGGCTATTTCAAAAAAACAAAAAAATTCGTCCCACAAGGGGGATGACAAATGTAATCAATCTAGCATCACATGTTCAATGTGCCACACATGTGAAAATGTCCCCTGTACTGTAAAAGAATCTATGTCAGCATGAAAATGTAATGAATGCCATTGTTTCACTGTGCTATTGTTATACTTGTCTTTCCAGTATCACATCCTAGTTATTGTGGCTGATGGACAAGTAACCAATGAAAGGGCCACAACTGAGGCTATAGTAGAAGCATCTAACTATCCTCTATCAATCATCACAGTCGGCGTGGGTGATGGTCCCTGGGACACCATGGAGGTAAAGAGTCAAAGCGTTCTTATCAGTTTATTTATATTGTTTGAGTGTGTGCGCGCTTCATTGGATGGGTACAAATGTAAACATGTACACGAGGAAAGAAACAGAAAACATATTTACACACTTTATCAACTTACAGAAAAAAAGAGGTAAAGAAATCTGTCTGTTCTACTTCCATTTCCAAATGTATGAAAACATAAAAATATGACCATGTTCAAACTGCTGCGAACAGCTTTCGCTGCAAGCAGAGCTCGGTTATATCTGTGGCTTTGTTTATTTGCACCAAGTTTATTCAGTGAGATTGGTGTATTTGTGCCAGGATTTATAGCTTTGTTTCCCTATCCAAGTGTATTGCCCATCCCTATATATCTGAGTCCTCTTTTTGGTTTGTTTGACTTGTTGGTTGTGCCTCTGTTGTTATGGTTATGGAATGTTTTGAATTTCCTGTTATGTGATCCTGAGATGGTTTGTAGTTAACGATCCATGCTAGTCAGTGAGAGCAGTGTGCAAGAATATGTGCTACTTTTTCTCTCTGGGCTTTTACCTAATGTAGCAATTCCCATCTAGTGGTTTGCAGAACAAATTGAAGGGGTCTGTCATATCATTACAACAACAATAAAAACCCACCTTCAGAATGTGATCTTTATTCTGATTCTGATATTTATGAGTAATAAGGTTTTCAGTATTACTATTAAAAAGACTGGAGTCCATGGTAGACTTTTACAAATATGAGGAGTCTGCAGGTCTTATCTCTTTGGGAACCACAGACCTGAATGATTGACCCCCATGACAACTTTGAGTCACATTCTGGGTGCAGATCAAACAGAGCAAATCTCAGGTACCCTCTTCAACCTCCTAAGAAGTTAAAATGAGAACACTGATAATGGCTACACCATTTACTACAATAAACATGTTTTCCTTTAATTTTTTAACATTTATCCGTTGACATCATCTTTCCTGTTATAATTTCAGGAATTTGATGAGAAGTTGCCAGTTAGGAAATTCGACAACTTCCACTTTGTTGATTATGCCAAGGTCACACAAGGAGTCGACAACCCTAGTGCATCATTTGCTATTCATGCTTTGAAAGAAATCCCTGACCAATACAAAGCAATCAAGAGATTGAACCTTCTTTAGTGTTAGCAGTTGTTTAGTTCTATTATTATAGTCAAAAGAGTGAGTACATTCATTATAATTATAAAGTTTAAAGAGGTAAAATGGAATTATTTTTAACTCGGAGTGAATTCAGTGCCACCTTAAGTGGCATTAAATTTTGCTAAAAAGAGCAAGAGGTCACTCTCAAGGCCATGAGCTTATAACTCAGCATCTGTGTTTAGTCTGATCTGAAAAGTGTATAAATTGAACTATTACTTTTTAAAACTTATTTTAACTTATGTAACGCCTGAAAAAAATGAACAGTTGAGTATCTCAAAATATATGTTTTGCAAATGTTTTTATATTTTTATTATTTTAAGGGAAAAAAAGTTTTTTACTTAAAATTAACACCTGTGAAATGAGATGCCTGAGAACAGCCGCCAACTTGACCATCTGAGCCAAAGTTAGATATGATATTATCAGACAGACTGTAGGAACAACACCATGCAGCAAATTCATTGAGAAACAGATCAAAGTATTTATTACATTTAGTAACAATGCAGTCAGAACAAGTGACTTCAAGAGGCCACCCTTGGAGAAGACGGACTGATGACATTAAAGAGCTTCTACATCGACATGGAATGACAATAGTCAATGCTGCCCATCAAGCAGTGGATCACAAACTGTTTCTCTCCACAACACGTAATGGCAGAAGTGGAAATTGATGTACCTTCATCTTCTCTAGTCCTGTTGTGCCTTTCAGTGCCAGGTTTTTGAAGAGACATCGAGTGTATGTATTACATAAGTGCTTGTATTTACGGCCTCAGATATTCCATCTATTCATTGCTTTGTGTGGTTTACCTCTAGTTCTGTTTCCGTTATGTCTAAGTGACAGGGTACTCTATAGTGCACTATGTAGTGGTAGTCTTAACATATGTCTGGACCATCTGATCTGTTGTCTCTTGATGTAGTTTAGTACTGGTTCTGTTCCAAATTGTTTCCTGATGTCATCATTTCTGATGTTGTCTCTTGATGTAGTTTAGTACTGGTTCTGTTCCAAATTGCTTCCTGATGTTATCATTTCTAATGTTGTCTCTTGATGTAGTTTAGTACTGGTTCTGTTACAAATTGTTTCCTGATGTTATCATTTCTAATGTTGTCTCTTGATGTAGTTTAGTACTGGTTCTGTTCCAAATTGTTTCCTGATGTCATCATTTCTGATGTTGTCTCTTGATGTAGTTTAGTACTGGTTCTGTTCCAAATTGCTTCCTGATGTTATCATTTCTAATGTTGTCTCTTGATGTAGTTTAGTACTGGTTCTGTTACAAATTGTTTCCTGATGTTATCATTTCTAATGTTGTCTCTTGATGTAGTTTAGTACTGGTTCTGTTCCAAATTGTTTCCTGATGTCATCATTTCTGATGTTGTCTCTTGATGTAGTTTAGTACTGGTTCTGTTCCAAATTGTTTTCTGATGTCATCATTTCTGATGTTGTCTCTTGATGTAGTTTAGTACTGGTTCTGTTCCAAATTGTTTCCTGATGTCATCATTTCTGATGTTGTCTCTTGATGTAGTTTAGTACTGGTTCTGTTCCAAATTGTTTCCTGATGTCATCATTTCTGATGATGTCTCTTGATGTAGTTTAGTACTGGTTCTGTTACAAATTGTTTCCTGATGTTATCATTTCTAATGTTGTCTCTTGATGTAGTTTAGTACTGGTTCTGTTACAAATTGTTTTCTGATGTTATCATTTCTAATGTTGTCTCTTGATGTAGTTTAGTACTGGTTCTGTTCCAAATTGTTTCCTGATGTCATCATTTCTGATGTTGTCTCTTGATGTAGTTTAGTACTGGTTCTGTTCCAAATTGTTTCCTGATGTCATCATTTCTGATGATGTCTCTTCTAGTTACATTTAGGATTTTGTTGTAGGCATTTCATTTCTTTGATTTTTAAATTATTTTTCCTTTATTGTTGATGTTCAGGTTTGGCACTGGAAACATATTTATGCTCTTGCTTTCCTAAAAGAAACATAATTTACAGGTTTTATTAACTAAAAGTTAAGTATCTATTTTTTTAAAGGAATATCTGGTCTTTATTTTATTAAATAAGTGTCTAGCACCGTTTAATTAACTAAAAGTTAGGTATCTATTTTATTAGGAATATCTGGTCTTTATTTTATCAAATAAGTGTCTGGCACAGGTTTTATTAATTAAAAGTTAAGGTATCTATTTTATTAGGAATATCTGATGTTTATTTTAACAAATAAGTGTCTGGCACCGTTTTATTAACTAAAAGATAGTTATCTATTTTACTGACTGAAAATCAGTTATCTGTCTTACAGGTATATATTCTGTGTCATCACATATTTTACTGGAGAGAAGACAGCCATTTATTTTAACGTTGAAAGTTAGATGCTTATTTAATTCAAGAAGATGAAAATACTTGTTTTGCTAAAGGAAAGTCAACCGTAGTCAGTCATCCAGTTGCCATCTTCACAGTGAAGACTTTCCACAATGGATCACCAACACACTCTGCCTCTATCTCTGGTTATATACTTTCTGAGACTACTTTTTATCCATCTTCCATTTGTATCACTGTCTACCTCTTGCTTGCTTGCCTTCTTTCCCCTTTTTAACATGCGTGATGTTGACCACATCACTCATCAGATACTGATAGGTATATACATTTATATATGTTTAGCACTATAATCTGATGTGCCAATGATGTGAAAAGACATTGTACATGTTTAAAATGTTTTTCAAAAGTGGTTTTATTCTGTCTTTTGATGTGACTAAAATATTTCACTTGTATTTAAAAAAAAAATGTTTCTCAACAGCTCTCTTTTATTCCAGATCTCTTCAGAACATGTGTATTTTATTTCTTTTTATTTATGTATGGTTTTCTTTTTGGTTGTTATTTGTTACTAAAGGGATCAGATACTAATTTTACTCACTATTATAATGCTAAAAAAGAGGAAAGCCAGTTATCCATTTAAATAAGATAAGGTTATGCACTTAGTTTATTAAACAACGCTAAGGTGTACATTCTGCTAGAGAAACAATGGCTATTTTCAAATTTGCATTTAAATATTCTTTAAAGTGACATTAAACTCTCAACACAGGTCGCATAGCCACAGACATCAAATCTGCTACAGCTTATGTGAAATAATAACCGTTGCTATTTAGCATAGTTTAAACAAAATCAACAGCTATAGAATGTCTCTTGTGACACAGGTTTCTTCAATTTAATCTTTCTTTTTCTCTTTTAATGGTAATTTGATTCAAAATGTTTAAAAAAGATTTCTTTTAAACCTACACTACAAAGATTTCTAGTCGTCTTTGTAAATTATCCATTTTCTTATTGAAATGATCAGGTAGTAGAATTATGCATTGTTAATAGACATTGTAATTGTACGTTTTCTTTAATTTATTAAGTTCTAATGAACTCGCTTTGCATTATTGACCTTTTTTTACATGATATTCTTTTTTTTTTATAACTCCCTTTTCTTTTAAAGGGGTGTTGTACTTCACTTACCTGGGAAGCAATATCTCCTCAGTTGGAAATGTAGTGGTTGAAATCAAGCAGAGAATTGCAAAGGCAGATGCTGCTTACAGCAGACTTCAGAGTGTCTGGAGATCAAACATCTACAGCACTAAAACTCAACTCAGGATATACAAAACATGCCTTAAGCAGGTCTCCTCTATGGAGCAGAAACTTGGAAAACAGACAGAAAGACAGAGAGCATGCTCAGAGGTTTTGAGCCCAGCATTTATTAGTTAAAGTAGCAACTGGGGAAAAAAGGGGGGGGGGGCGGGGGAAGAATAAATGGTCGGGGTGTATAGACTCACTGTCCTGTAACAAGCGTGTCATAAAGGGCAGCCTATTAGGGGTTTACTGAAATTGGATATATGGACCAAAAGGGTCAGATATTGTAACCATAACATAACCGCTAACTGCCCTTTCAGTGGTGAATGCTGTAGAAGCAGAAGTAACCAAATAGAATACACCAGGTCAAAGAAACATTTGCAGGCTACTGTTAATTGTGAGTTTCTGCTTTTCTCAGTCATCTCAGTGTTCTCCAATGCCTCTCTTCTCGTTAAATTTCATGAAAAGATATAAAAATGAATGAAAAGTAGATCAATGAGCTTTTCAGTATAACAAATACAGTGAATTTTCTGGCTACAGAGCCTTCTTCAGCACATTCATAAATTTTAAAAAATCCACATGAGTACACAAAAGTCACTTAACTGATGTATCCCGAAGTAGCCACGTTAATTAAAGGACTAAAGAACACTGCCTCTTTCTTTTAGTCTCATACAGGACTCTAATTTCATTTGCCATCTCCAGGCAGATGTTGTAAGTCACTCAGTCTGTCCAGACTATCTGCAGCATGTTTCTCAGAAACCACATCACCATGGTTCCCAAGCAGGATGATGGGCACATGATATCACAGGCAGCCTGGATATAAAAGTTCATGAGGGGGACAGTTGGCAGGAGATCAAGTAGCATTCTAGCATGCCATGATGAGACCAATGTTCTGCCAAGGTTTTGGCACATGATGATAATGATGAATTTAACTTATAATCTAATAATGTCTTCTTCTGCTCTAGTCCTATTTAGCCTTTAAGTGTCAGGTTTTGAAATGGTATTGGGTGCAAACCTATGCTATGTAGATGCTGTATGTAGGATCTTGGATATTTCATCTGTCCACAACTAGCATGGTCAACCTCTAGATCAGCTTCCATTCAACTGACAGGGTTCTCTGCACTGTCCGGTGGTAGTCTTGACACATGTCCAAACTATCTGATCTGTTGTCTTTTGATGTAGTCTAGTACTGGTTCTGCCTCAGCTGGTCTCTTGAAATCATCATTTCTGTTGCTGTCTCTTCTAGTTACATATAGGTTACATAACAGAAACTTCATTTCTGTTGTTTCAATGGTTTTCTTTTTTTTTTTATATATATGTCTTTGATCAATGTAAGTGTGAATTTAAAAAAAAAACATGCACAATGTAATTGTTGAGATGTTTTTAAACAAGTTACC